ACACCCAGGGCCTCGTCGGCTCGCAGCCCCTCCCCCAGGCTGTAGGTGCAGGACCCCCTACCCTGCCTAATAGCCTCCAGCAGCCCCCACCGGGGGCATATGGGCCCCGGAAGCTCCCTGATGCAGATGCCCCACCAAATGTAACTGTATCTACCTCCACCATCCCACTGTCCATGGCAGCCAGCCTGCATCAGAACCGGCCTGGTGACCTGAGCAGCATTGTGCACCAAATCAACCAGTTGTGTCAGGCACGGGCCGGCATGGGCACCACCTCAGTCTGTGAGGGCCAGATCGCAAACCCCAGCCCCATCAGCCGCAACCTGCTGATCAACGCCAGCTCAAGGGTGTCCTCTCACCACCCGGCTCTGGGCTCTGTGCCCAGCTGCCTCATGGTGGGACCCCCAGACAAAGCTACAGCTCAGCCCCCTGGGGCTGCTCTCCATTCACAGCCCAATATAGCTGCCACTAATAGTATACCTGCCTTTCACACTGACCCAGAGAAGGTACAACTCCAGCAGCAGCAGCTTCAGCACCATTTACATCAGCAGAAACAACAGCAGCAGCAGCAACATTTACAGCAGCAGCAACATTTACAACAACTACAGCAGCTGCAGCTGCAGCCACAGCAGCGCTCCTGGGCCCAGCATCAGCTGGCCCACATGCAGCAGCCCCCCGAGGGGGCCCATCCCTGCAAGAACCCAAGGATGGAAGCTCCAACTGAGTGTGCTTTCCCCTCTCAAAACCTGAACTATTCCCATAAGCTACCAAACACTGCACAGTCTTTTCCTCTAAAACACCCAGCAGAAAAACCACGACCTTCATCCCCTGTTAACTGCCCAGTAGGTTCTATGCCTTACATTAATAGCCACTACATGCAGCCACCGTGGGGCAGCATTCCAGCCACGGCAGGTAACAATGGATCTGGCCCTCAGGATCTCCCAGTGGCTTTCCAGGGAGGGCAGGCTGGTGCCTCCGCTGACCGCATCCCAGGGGCGAAGTACAGGCCAGGGAAGGAGGGTCCTAGCGGCCAGTCGAAGTTGATGCAGAATGTGGATTTCTTAGGAGGGGACTTCCAGATGCCCAGCTTTCAGGAGCAGAACTTGGATGTGATGGAGAAGATGCACAGGTCAGCCATGGGCCAAGTTCAGGAGCCCAGTAATGGCAGAGCTGTCCACACTCATCACCCAGGCTACCGTTAAAGCGTGTGCTTATCCCCTCTTGGTGTCTTGAGTTTTGTCTCAACAGCTACTTTCAGCTTCTGTGGTTTATTCTTTAAGATCTTGCAAGTGATCAATTACATTTTATTGCTTCAGAGCTTGATTTGTAGACCCACCAGGTTGTGATGTTTCAAAGTATTCCTCAGGTCTTAAGCCATGTCGTACCTTTTTTTGCAGATGAAGGGTTTTTGAGATTGTTGTCCACAGTTGAGTAGAATTCCTCTTTTCATCACTGGCATGGATGTGCTGCTCTTTTTTCATGTATATATGGTGTTCTAAAATACTCATTTGCAGCTGAGAATATGCTTTGCCATATGATTGTCACAGTGCTTCTCTTAGGTTGACAACATGGAACAACTCAACTTTTTTCAGCATTTGTGGCCTTACAACTGCCCAAAGGCATGATTTTGGATGTCCTTGTGTAATGTTTTTATTTGCAGTTATTTATCCTCTAAAAAGGTTTGTGATCCATTTAAGTAAGAAGGTTACATGTATATGCAATTAATAAGACTGTTGATAAGGTTCTTGTCCCAGGAGCTCCCTCTCGTAGTTGAGGTGTACACTGTTAAAGGGCCTAAGTGAGAGCCACGACTCCTCTGTCAGGAATACAACATGGCTTTTGAACTGCGCAGTGAGTCGTGCAGGTAGTTTTTGCATCGATTTGTGTGTGATCAATGCTCAAAAACAACCAGCCTCCACTGTTGAGCAGAATTTTAGTTATAAATAAGACAAACCCAGCACTAGCAAAAACAGTAACATTCTCCATTCCTGAGATTCAAGTTGCAACTAGGTTTCTCTCACGGTTTAAAGTGCCCTCTTGTGTGTAATAGTTATACTTTTATTACTGTTTTTGTTGTATTTCTGTAGATGGTCCTACTTGAACTGTAGAAATGACTTTTAAATGTTATGGTTAACATTTGGCAAAAGGAGCAGAAACTCCATTAGCCCCTGTTTGTCTATAATTAATGTGAAACAGAATGGCATCCCATTATTATTAAAATGGTTTATGTATGTGAAAAGCAAATTGATCACTTGCAAGCATGCAAGTACTTCAAATAATGCAAGTTGGGAAAATGCTTCATTTCCCCTCCAACACATTTCCTCACCACTTTACTACTGTAATGCAAGTGAATTGATGTGGTGTGGACATTATCTGTGTGGCTTGTGGTGGGCTGTTCATCTACTAATCACTGGCCTTACCCTGTGTTGTATTTCTGCTACCTATAAAGAAACAAGAACATTAACTGCAGGTTGTTTTGCTAGATGTGTCTAGCACAAAGCTCTGGACCCATTTCCTCCTCTTAAGTCCTTCTTTCGGGTTGATGTTTGTCCGGGCATATGTTGCTCTGCTATCCTCTAGCCTTCTGGAAAAAGCCTTAAATGTCACAGTAGTTATCCTCTACTTACCGTAACTGACTTTCTTTGCCAGGATCCCAAATTAAGTGTGGCTTCATTGTGAGTAAGAGTTTTTTTTTTTTTCTTTTCCCTGAGCTTTGATTGATTTGAAAACTGTACTGTCAAATCATTGGGCATTGTTAATATGTATAGGCAGTGGGAATGGGTGATATTGTCTTAAATGGAAATATTAAGGCAATATTGCCACTCATACCTGTTCATAAATCACCCATCCTACTGTCTCAAATGTTGCCTATCTATCAAGGATTTAAGATGATTTTAAGAGTAAAATATGAATAGTATTTAGCAGAATTACTAGGTATATAGAACAGGGCTGTAGCAGTTATTTTAAAGTATTTGGACTGTGTTTTAGTTATACTTAATAAATATCCTGATATAGTTTAATTTATTTTTTTGGACCACTGCATCCTGAAGCCATAGGTGATTTCACATTAGGTGCCATAGGTGACACACATTGACGCAGACAAACTCAACTGTAAACTCATTGTCTGCACTCAGAGGCAAATAAGAGGTTTGCATCTATGCTTTTATCTGATGTCTTTCACAACGCCAAGCATTTTTTCCCTCTCCGAGTCGTTCTCCGAACACAGTACAGGTCAAAAGAGAGAAAGAATGGCGAGATGATGTGTCATGTGTCATGAGAGAGACAGCTGAGATGCAAGCCGTACCTTTTCTGTATTTTGGTTTTCATACTTGATGGCAGTTTATTTTATTTCCTGGCTCTCATTTTTGATGTGCCTGCCCCTTGAAGCTGCTATTGAATTTTATCTTAACTCACACTAGTATGATTTGTGTGTGCGTGTGTATGAATAGTAATGATGTATGGGCTGTATCAGTGAAAATAAGTTCCTATTTATGGGATGGGTGAAGGAAGGGTGAAAATTGCCACCACTCTAATGCTGGTAAACAGGTTAAAGACTGTTTGTCTATTTACCAAACAATATATTTGGAGATGATTCTAAATATACATTGACTGACAAGTGTTCAAAGTGGCAGAGTGATTTTCTGGAGTCTGTCCCACTGTGGCTTAAAGACAGACACCTTCTAGGCCTGTTTGGTCTCTTAACTTCAAGTCAACAGCCACTGAGTGATAACACTAAACAATTAGACAGACCTGTCCTGTTCATTTTGAACTGCCTCGTTACAGCCCAACATAGTCAGGTTCTACAGTTTCATATGAAGTGCCTCCACTGGGCTTAGTATGGAGAAACGTGTGATTGGACGCTTGAGTGTGTGTGTATGTTAAGCTTGGGTACTTGCACACAGGTGTGCACGAAGTTAATCTCTGATGGGGGACCAAGCCTCTTAGTGTAACTACTGATACTGTGTCATGGACTGAAGTCCTGAAGTGTGCCACGATTCCTAGACACTGTCGGGATGTGTGAACTGTTTGCTGCTGACTCACTGACCAAAGTGACCAAGCGTCCCTCTCTGTAACCACCCCCGGCCAAAAGCCTTGGCAAGCTTGTAGTGGGAACTGATGTTCTAACAGTAATAAGCATCAATCTGGTGACAAAGCAGAGCTGCTGCCCTCATTTGAATGGTTAGAGAAAATCTTGTGAAGTGAAAGTTTAAAGATGTGAACAGAGCATAAAAAAAATCTAGAGTGAGTGGTTCCTGTCTGCACAGTACACCCCAACTTTTTTTTTCTCTAAGCAAGATTCAGATGTGGTTCCAACCAGAACTTACTGTATGTTTTGTGGTTCCATTTCACAATATTATTATTACCATGCAGAAATCTTGTCACCCACAGTACACGTCAATATGCACTGTAAGAGTCTGGTCTACTTAAGCACATTGCAGCTCATGTTAGTTGACGCAGATGGCAATATTTATTGGGGCACAGCTATGTAACAACTCTCTCTAGATTTATTTTTACTCCAGTTAATGATCGTCTTTGATTATCAAAGATCAAGCATGTGAATGGTGGTGGATGGGGGGGCTTACTTTCTCTACTTTGTGAAAATGTGATATTCCAGTTTTGCCTAACCTTCAGGAATAAAATGTCTTGCACAAACATTCCCCCTAACCAAAATAAAGTTTGCAAACACAAAGCTTTATGAGTGGTTGTTTTTTTTTTATCCACATATAAAGACCGTCAAGATGATTTCAATCAGAGTAAATGTGTATAAATTATTTTAGTTTTTCAGTTAAATAAGAATTCACTGAATCAGATAAGACCTATTCTACAGGTATGATATGTTTACAAACAACAGGTAAAGTAAAAAATAGAATTTGTGGTAATTTCAGGTATAATTGAAGACTTCTGTTATTTTAATTGTCCTTAGTTAATGGTACACACAAAATGTACAGTACAGATTCAGAGTTGTTGAAATGGTAGGTAGAATATAAAAAGTTACTGTATTAAAAATAGAGGATAGGCCGTTGTGGCTGCTGATGTCCACATGCAACCTGAATGTGAATGTTCAAATTTTAAACCCTGGGAACGCTGGAATGCTGTGGTGGGCGACGTCCGGAACGAATCCTCTCCAGGAGTGGATTTAGGTTCCACCGGTACCCTGAAAGATTAAATGGCAACTCGGTGACATGTTGGCAATTAGAAGCATCAGGTATACAGGTTGTGTGTATGTTCTGTTGTCCTACCGAGAGTCTGGTCGTTGGGCTGTGGCTTCATCATTTGATTCCCGGGGTCTTCCTCTCGGATTACACCAAGGTCTGACTTCCATTGTCTCCAATTCATTTCCTCCACCCTGAAGTTCAATAAGACTATGATCACGAGGAACACTAGACGTGCTTGACATGATTATATCTTCATAAATTGATATTACAGGATTTAAAGGGTCAGTTCACCCAAATTCCAAAAAAACATTTTCCCCAATTACCTATAGTGGTACCCCTTGTGTTTTCTTGCCACCACAGTCCAATGGAAGTGAATGGGGTTTAGTTAGAGGTGCAAAGCACTGAAGAATATCATATATAAATGCTTCCTGTAACATCTGTAGATTGTTTTCATTACGCAGGGCAATCTTTATTTATTTATTTTGTTTTTATGGGTCCTGAATTTCCTGCTAATTTCCTTTGTAACTTTATTCAAAGTTTCCTGAAAAATTAGCTGGTTTTAAGATGTTAATAACCAATAAAGTCCTATTCAATTTGGTACTAATTATAAAGCAAATGAATGGAGAAGGTTTTAGCTGATAAAGTTATTAAGGATCTTATAATTATATTTGAGTTATGAAGGGAAAAAAAATTAATAAAAGTGAAAATTAGTTCATAAACTGATGTTTCCTAGACTAACAAAAATTCTTCATTTCAGTTCTTCATGATTTTGAACTGCCATGCACCATAGATCCTTGGAAAGTAATAAACAGCTAATTTTCAGTTAATTATGAAGAAAGTTTCCAGGAAATTAGCTGGGAAATACAGAACCTGTAGCATAAAGTGTTTCACTAATGTGAGAGGAAAGAAGACAAAATAAAGACGTGTGCTACACAGATTTGTATTTTCTCAGATCTGCTTTTTGTGAAATGTTGGATAATTTCACCACTCTCAAACGGTTTTTTAAATGAAACATGAGAAGTTTAGAAGGGACGTGTTTTTTTGGTGGAACTGCTAACAACCTTATGTTTTTAATATGTAATCTTGGTTTGAAAAATAACTGGTGACTATAGCTTAAAAATATATGGAGTGAAGTAAAAGTACAATATTTCCTTCTGAAATGTAGAAGGGTATTAAGTAACATAAAATGGAAATAGTGAAGTAACAGTAGCTCTTGGCTACCAAAGGATAGTATTTAAATGTTCTTAATTATACCTGAAAAATCTCCGACACTCATCATTCTCGCCTCTCAGACACACCATCTTTGACACTCCTGAGTACAGTTTACTTTTCAGGCCCCTCGGCAGAGTCCTCTCCATGTCCAAAATTGTAAAGGCTCTCTGTGGATGTGCAACAAAATGTTAGTGGGTTACAGTGTGTCAGAGCTTTGTGTGTTTGTCAAGTTTTATTTTGTTTAAACATAATCTAGAAACTCTTGCCAAAATTCTTATGAGTGATGTTTCAGTGCTCCCCTTAAAGAAAATGATATGTCTGTGGTATATGCTCTGATTTGAAGTTAAATTAGCTTTTTTTTTTGGCAATTGCAACCTACATTTCCTGTTTTGGTTCTACTAATTTACAGTCGCATTTATAGAACTTTCCTGGATTTGAGGGATTAACCTAACATTACATTGTGAACATTAGAAATCAAGTTTACAGACTATAACATCTTCCCACCTGCAGGTTCCAGATGTTTTCACTTTCTTTGGAGATTCGTTCAACTGTGTTGCCCATCAGGGCTATGAGCATGTTGAGCAGCAGGATGTAAGTGAGGACTATGTACAAAATGAGCAGGATGTAGAAAACCTCCTTATACTGAACGTGGTCGGTGAACTCCAGATCTCCCATTCCAATAGTGAACTTGAACAATTCCAGTGTCGTAAAGCGGATGTCGTTGTAACTTGGCTTCTTGCACTTGAATGTATCGGCAGCAAAGCTCCTTCCATGTGCCGGTGTGCCATCGGCCAGAGTTGGAGCGGAGTCTTCTATGAGTGCAACAATAGCTATGGATGAAGGAGAACATTTTAAATCAGAAGTCCTTACCTTGGAAAACAACTTAAGTCTTTATTCTGTATATGTTTAATTTTTTACATGTGAAGTCCATGTGAGTCTTACCTGCAGAAAATCCAAAGAGCAAGACACCATAGACACATAAGAAGTGTAACAGATCACCCAGGATCATCTAAACAGAGACATAGACTTAAAACCAGGAAACCCACTCTGAGACTTTTGGTAACTATAAAACTAACTTAATTCTTACCCTTTGCATCATGACACTGTACATCCCCATTTGTTTAGATCCTCTTGAGTAGTAAAGGACATTGATCCAGGCAAGAGCCAGTGAGAGCACAAGGAGTCCAACATACTCTCTCCGCCCACAGCTGTACAAAATTGCGCAGATCAGGAGGAGTGTCGCCTGCAGGAAACTACAAACACAAACGGAGCGGTAAGAAAGCAATGATAGTAAAGGTGTTCTTCACAAGAGATGGTGATACTTACAACAGAATGTCACAGAATCCATCCGTGTACAGAGCCTTGAAGTTTGGGGGGTTCCTCTTGAAAATAACTATCTATGGAATTACAAATCAAGGCATGGGAAAATGGAAATAGTTGGAAATTAATGTTGACTTTTTTTGTGTGAATTACTGGACCAGATTCCACTTTCTCACCGCTTTATAGAAAAACCACGCTGCTCCAAGGACACTGATGAGCTCACCCATGCAGCGGAGGTGGTCAACCGGGGTGTTTTCAACGGGAAACGGTGGCTGTGGGTGAAAAGTTAGGAGTCCTCGCTTAGGCTGACACATAGTTAGTCCTATTTTGATTAGATGATGGTTTTGTTCAGTCTTACCTGTCCCTCCTTTCTGTAGAAGGCCACAGTGGTGAAGGTGATCAGGTATATCAGATACACCAAAAAATTCATCAAGAATAGTTTGGAAGCAAACCTGTCCCATTTATCCTCGAGAAGACTGTGAAGAGGCTCGATCTGCAGCATCTCAGTACGATTCTGAGGTAATGTTCACAGGACAGTTTTCACATTAAAACACCTCAGTCCTCTGTGTGAACATAGCAGTGGCAAAGCAGTACTCCGAATGTCTTCTATCAGTGCCTCATGAGCGTGATTAAGGCTTGTTTGCCAAAACATGTCGGCCAAAGAAAAGAAATTGAGAGATTTTTCTGCTGCTATCCCAGTTTAAACTGTATGTTGTTGTGGCTTCATCAGATCACACCCTTTCATTACATTTCAAATATGTACCTTCTGTTTGTTTTGCACTGATGAAATTAACATCAAACATTAAAAATTTATGATTTCTGTACTATATTATCTGATGCAGTTAATGTTCTTATGTTACTGGACAATGGGATCATATGTTATTGTGTCCAATGCCATACAGACTGTACATAGGTCAGTCTTGCTGTACTCTAGATTTTGTTGATTATATATGCTACTTGCATACTGCACTGACAGCTGATGAGACCACACCCATGATATTGTTTAAAAGGCGCTACTGCCTCATTAACATACCCCACGTCAGTAAATAACCTACTGTAAAAAGAGCAACAAAAAAAAACCATGAGGACAAATTGTAATTTTGCTTGTAATTTGTTCAAATGAGGTCAAAAAAGAAATTTCTAACCGGAATTTCACTCCCAAAGACGACTATCTCCAACACAGAGTTGTCTTCGTTGGTGTCGATGGAACTCATATCATAAAGTGAGGAGTGAACAGGTCCATAGACCCATTCTGGTAACTTCCTGGACAGCGGCCTCATCTCCTCATCCACAAATTCCCGCTGCAAAATGTGCCTGAACAGCTGGCCAGCCAGAGACCAGACAGGAGATCATTATCTTGTTTTACAATAGATGCATCCTCTCATGGCTTGCACACACATGGCACATTAATGTTTCCCAAACGTTATATTAATGCTTCAAGGCAATACACCCCATGCTAAATAGGACTGCTACACATTAAAGAAGGAAAGTGTAGCATTAAGGTGCATCTGAAAAGACACACAGACCTTCAACTGAAAACAGACCTACCCCAATCTTTCCAAGCTTGGCTGCTAACTTCAGAGGAGTCAACCCCTGATCATTTTCAATAGCTTCCAGCTTGACCTTTGTTGTTTTCTCCAGTTTGTGGTGCAGAATGAGGATCTCGTCATACATCCTTGCAACCATATCTGTGTTTTCTTTTGTGTTGTCTGCTATGACCACCAAGGTGTGCAAGACAGTGTTTCCTTGTGAGTCCTTGTCAGTCAGGTCAGCTCCTCTGTGAGGGTTATCCATTAGGAAAGACACAATATCAGGCTGGTTGGTGCAGGCAGCCAGTGACAGTGGAAGTTCTCCTTTTGAAAACAAACAATAGTGAGTTTAGTGACATTAACAACTGGCATAGAAAATGTAGTTTCTTTCAGTTATTTTCAGGAAGTAATTACCCACCAAAATAAAAGCCCAGTCCTGCATTATGCTGGAAGAACCTCCCATTGGCTTTGGCCTGCACATCTGCTCCTTTCTGGACCAGCAGTTTCACATGGTCAAAGCTCCTCCTTTCAATGGCAACATGCAAGGCTGTCTGACCTGTGACATGTGGTTTGTTGTTAGAGAAGATAAAATGTCCTTTATCAGCGTAAGGGTTTTGTGCATGAGGTCCTAAACTCTCTCATGACAAGCGTGATTTGCTGCACACCTCCAGAGTGCATTGCCTACATGTACGTGGGACATCTCTCATTTATTACTCATGCCTATCAATTTCTTGTCACCTACCTTTGTAGCAAGAATCTTTGTAAGACGCGTTGATTAAATTTTCTAAATCTCCGGTCTCCTCTGCTATGCCAAGGAGTATTTCAATGGTATCATTTTTACCATCTTTTAGATTCAGCAACGCTTTCAGGAGAGCCGTCTTCCCATTTGTTTCATCTGAAAGTTGTACACAAATTCACATCTCACATTCACATCAATGAGTTTGTGATGATCCCTATTAACGTAATGAATAGTACAAGAAAAAACACTATATTTACTTTGGAAAACTTCACCACACACTATTATACTGTATTAGACAAAAGAGCTTTATGAACCAAATGAGGCAATTTACATTCAGCTTCCTCTGATTGACTATTTTTTGAAAACAGTGCAGGTGTTACACATAGGATCCTAAATTTAATTAGCTGTATCCACTGATTCACATCTATTCTCTTCTGCTTGCCCTCAGTGATGCCTTTTCTACACAAGCTGACTCAAAACTCTTGCAGTACTGCATGACCAAAATGCATTTCACAGCACAAACGTATTTTCAAGGACACATGGCTGTACTGAATCAAACTAACGTGGACATAAATAACAGCAGGATGTTTTTGGTCAGAAATAAGACGGATAAAACTGCTTCTTCCTACTTGCCTGTAAATTCTGGGCTTGTAAGTTGCTTATCATTAACTCGCAGGTAGTTGAGCAGGCCATTAAGTTGACTTGTGTCCCCCTGGGAAACTGCTTCAAAGACTCTCTCCCTGGTGAATACTTTAACGCATATGTTGTCAACACTGGAACGCTTTTGTCTGAAATGCAGAAAAATCAGTCATAAAATGTATTACGCAGCTTATGGTTTCAAACCATGCAAAAGTCTTCAAGTCACATTACCAGTAATCTTTGAATGCAATGAGCAAATATCACTCTAACATGGTGTTTGTTGACTCCTAGAGAAGGATCCAGCTGTTGGTTTACCTGAAATCCACCATGTCACCTGATACATATCAGTCTCTAAAGACTAAAACGCAATTTTATCTGAGCAGCAAAATAACAAACTGATTTCTGTGTCGATGACTCCTGCAGGTAGTCTACATTATCTAATATTTAAAATCCATGAGCATAATCTACAGAAGGAAATCAAACACCAGCTCTTCCCGGGTGGGGTCAATTACCCAGACAGTAAAACGTTGGTGTCCATAGGTGCAGGAATGATCTCTGAGCTGTCTTTTCCAAGGAGCCAATCCAGACTATTCCCCTCCTCTTCTTGGCCTTTGTTCGGCTCCTCTTTGTCTTGTGGGTGTCCATTTTCCATCTTATTTGTTGTTAATAACTAAGTCTTGATCTTGTATGACAAGAAACTGTGTTTGCTTTCACAGGTGGCTCATCAGGTATGATGAGCTACAGCTGCACAGGTGTAGAATTGCAAAGGTCAAGAGGTAGCACTGAAGAGGTAATGGTGCTTGTTACCTTGGTCACGCTCCTCCCTCTCCCCAGAGGACAGCCCTGTTGTTTACCGAACAGCAGTTTTCCAGTTGTATAAACAAAGAGCATGCTGAGCTGAGACCATAACACGCCCACTGGATGGTTATCTAGTGTTCATGCTAATTCAGCACTATTGTGATGCAAATATTTTTGTAAAGAATTACATATTGACACATGACATTGCTGATTATGGTAAACAACATTTAGATGTATGTTTTGATTTAAAACAATGGTCTGAATGCCTGTAATGCTTCACTGTAACTGTGATGACCAGTCAAGCCAATTAAGTTAGTGGTTTGGAAATCACTAACAAAAAAATATCTTTATTACTTGGCAACTAATTTATTGATTTGTATTGTGTATCTGAATACATAATATTATTGGCTATATAACTGATAAGTTTAAGTTATTTAAGTTAGAGACTCTTTACTGTGAAATACTTACAGGTGAACATGATTTTGTGGAAACTAGTTTGGAAGCCAATCACTTACACAGTGTGAAGTGGAAACTTGAAACCTCCAGCTAATACAGCCTACTAAGTGATGTAGGAGACTTCACCTAGTTAAACTTCTGTAACAAAAATGTTTGCTTATTCATTAGTTCTGGATATTTTGATGATAGAGAGGGAGCAGATGTCATTTTAACTATTTTCTCGATGAAGATATTCACACACCCAAATGTCTTAGATGCTGATGGGTTGGAAAATGTCACTTCAGTCTTGGAAAGAAGAATATCGCATACAGTGCTGTTGCTTAGCATCTTGATTTATTCATCACCCTAAAGTTTCAGTCTCTCTAGAGTCTCTAGTATTTTAAACAATATACATAATATTTACAACAATCATCTTAAATAGATAATGCCCCACCCATCTTGTGTGCCCAGGTGTGGGACAATTATTCTCCTGTGGGAGTGTCTTAAACAAGTGAGAAATCACAATAATCAGCCTTGCAGCTTTCATAAGTCATTCAAAGTATCTAATCATATGAACTATTAGTATCTTGAGTGTGCCAAAGATTGATCTATAAAGTTCTTAAACTGCTTGGAGCGTGACATGGGATCATTCTGTCCATTGGGGGATAACGTTTGCAAATTAAATATATCGTCTTTTTTATTAAGAATTCATCAATGTTATCACCTCTCTCAGCTGGAGTCACCTTTTCAATGTCTTGGAACCTAAGTGATGAGATGCCATGTTTAAAGTCATTAGAATATACTGATATTGAGTCATCTCTATTGTTTCTCCTTATGGAGCTTTTGTGTTCACTTATTCTCTGTTTTAATGAATGTGATATTTTAACATCATAGAATAAACCACAGGGACATTTGATTATGTAGATTACATGTGAAGAGGAACATGTGATGACATCTTTGATGAAGTACTTTTTCCCAGTATGATGATGAGTAAAATAATTACCTTTGGTCATATTATTGCATTAAGCAGATCCTTAAAAATAAACATAAATTTGGAAGAGGTTTTTTTTTTTCTTTTTTTTCTCGGTATTGTGTTGGCATGTACCAGGATATCTCTGAGATTACGCTCTCTTTGACACACTAGTAATGGTGGTTCTTTCAACTCCATGGATATTGCTGGATCTGATGATAATCTGTGCCAATGTTTTTTAATAATTGAGCCTAGTCTGTGACAGTTGGGGGTGTAAATTGTGTTAAATATGATGGGGTATGTCTTCTTCTACAGGGGCTTATTTTGTAATGATTAATTACTTGATTTATGTAGGACCATATGGTATGCTTCCTCTACACAGTCCCATTCTAGAAACATTTGTTTCATATCTATCGATTTGTCAAATCAAATTATTGACAAATCGATAGATCTCAATAGAAGCTAAGGTCTAATTTACAGTTACCTTAGAAAAAAAGTTTCAGTATTCAAAGACAGAGAACTGATATCAGAAAGTGTTGGAAATGTTAAACATGCCAGGATTCAACCCTATACTGAACATTTGTGTCATTTCAGAATTTATAATAGTCTCTAATACAAAATGCATTTATTTAATTTTTTCACTGAATTGTCTCAAAATTAGCAAATCAATAGAGTAAGATATTATCAGATTCTTCTTCCCCTTACTTTATTTCCATATCTATCAAACAAGTCTGAAGACCTACCGAGAAAAAAAAAGTACATATATCATATTTTTCTCAGATTTAGAAAGGACAGTGCACACAGCACATGTCCTATGCTCCTCCTCTCTCATCAGCTTGACCCATTTCACAATCATGCGTACATACATACACTTTATTGCCTCATGCTTTTAAAACAGGGGTTAGAGACAGTACAGATAAATCAACTAAACACTGAAGTCAAAACAGTGTGCAACTCAGTAACTCAAGTAATATTAGCAATAAGAGCAAATTACACCATGCACATACTTCATGGATCACATCTATCTTTAGTAATCAATTATTACACTTATATGTCGATTATTCTTTAACATGTAAAGGGGGGTGCACCGTTCCTGGAAGTACTGCAATACCAGGTCGATGCGTGGAGTGGACGGAGCAAGCCCCTATTCCATCTCCCTGTTCCAAAAATCAATTTAATATATGGTCCCCGGGTAGGGGACGTATCAGATATTAAACTGATAAGAACAGATACTACACTTGATCTTAGCCAAAAGGCCGAGAAGCGATACCATCAGTTGTTGGAGGTACGGAAGTGATTCGCCGCAACGCCAGTCTCACTCATGGTTTGGCACCAGAGTTACAGTTTTTGGGTCAGTATATAAAACAGCAACAAAGTATATTTAAGATAATGTACCACTACTACTGTTTGGTTGCGGTATTTATAAGAAATTGTCTTTGCAAATACGACTTCGTTTCGACTTCCTGGACACGTGGTATGCCTTAGTCCAATAGGAAGCAGACACAACTTATGAAACAAAATTCCTTTTAGAGACACATTAAAAAATATATAATGCATATCTATCTCTATATATGTTTACAATTCAACTTAATAAGGTGTTACAGACATGTGTATTTGAGGAAAATAATGTTTTTAGGATTCTCAATGCTCCGGTCAGAACAACTGCTCTTCCAGTGGTCTCTAGTGGAGAAGAGTGCTAACTGCACATCACAGCCTTTCTTATCGGTCAAAACCCAGCAATGCATTCACCATGTAATGTTGTAATGTGATTTACTCTCAGTTATTAGGAACATCTACCTAAAAACAGTCCAATACAACGGTGCTGCAATCCTCCTTCACGTAAATGTTTAAGTACAATGGAAACTCACTGATAACGACCTTGTCCCGGTCTACATAAACTTTCAGTGAAGTTTTTCGTGTTAGAAATAATTTGTAATGATTATGAGTCCACAAAATTTCGATGTGAATAACAGTGTCAGGTAAGACTCAAACACACATCATGTTGTCCCCACACAGCTGTGTCAAATTTAATTTGATGCCGTTAATAAACAGATTTTCCCGGGCACAATCTCGATATAACCGTTAAATAGCTCCCAATATGCTTTCATGTTAGTTTTAAATGCTAAATAAAGTTGTGTAATTAACTGTGATAAAGACCTAACATATGAATAAATATCTTATCATGACACAGACAGTCCAAAAATAAGCACCAATAAGAGGACCCGCAGTTAGAACATTTCGAAGTATTTTCCTACACTAGTGAAGATTTTAGCATAAACCAGCAGTTTTTTAGCAAGCTGCTAACGTTTAGCATGTTGCTAACGTTGACCTTGCTAACCAAGAGCTTAATTGAAACACGTTGCTGCAGTGAAACAGCCCCAAATAGCTGATAACACTTTGGTTTCTTAATAATTATTATAATCTGAACAGTTAAGCGACATTCTATCTAAAAGAAATGTTAAGTTAGTGAGTAAAAATGAACTTACTAAAAGTTGTCCTTTACTCTTATTTTTCCTCTATTGAAAAAAGCCTTAAACAATCCTAACTGCTAGCTACATGGACATCAACTGTGAATATTTCCATGAACAAAAAATAAAGCACAGTTTCAACCAGTGAAAACATTTACTTAACCAAAAAACTTGCCTTTTGTGACCAAAATCAATTTTTGGTGCTTCAATTCTTCACTTTTTAAGAAAATTCAAATAAGTATACAAAACATCTAGGTCAGCATGCCTAGCATTTCTTGTAAAAAAAAAAAGTCATCATCATCATCATCATCATCATCATCATTATTATTTACAATGACAATGAGCAGATACAAAATAATAGAAACATAAGATAATAGAAAAAAACTCCAATTAAAACGAACATACATATAAATACAATTAATAATCTATTTTAAAAAAAACAATTAAGATAGGTACAAACAGGAGTTAAAAGGTTATAGATTATGGGTTTTAAATGACCAAGATGTACAAACACATTGCTTTTGTGAGTTCCATGTGGTTGATGCAAAGAAGCCAAAAGCAAATCTTCCAAGCTCAGTATGAACTCAAGGGACATGGAGCATCAGCCAGTCATTAGTCCTGGTCTAATGTGGTCCAGTGGACCAAACTAACATGAATAAGATATGAAGGCAGTTTTCCAGTAAGGGCTTTGTAAATAAACAAATATGTATGCAAATCACAGCTCTAAGAGAGAGAGGACCACTCAACCTTTTTTCACAGGATGCATGTTATAATATGTGTGTTATAAGCATCACTAGTAATGAACCTGAGAGCAGAGTGGTAGACTGAATCAAGGGGTTTTAGAGTTGCAGCTGAAGCCTGTACAAGATGTCACCATGATCTAAAAATGATTTTTAAAAAAATGCTTCAACAAGGGTTTCTACAATGCAATGGGAAGCCACATTTTACAGTCTAATTGAAATGGTGAGACATTTTTATTTC